CTGTGCTTTAAATACCTGCCTTCCATATGGTATTGTGTCCTGTCCAGACAGAGGTTATTATTTGTACCTACTACTCTCAAGGTAGGTTGATCTAATGTCAGTCTCTTACTGATTCCAGGAAGTCAACAGGAATAGTTCTTTATTTTTTTAAAAAAAGACTTACTTACATTTTATTTTACATGTATGGGTGTTTTGCCTGCATGTATGTTTGTGCACCACATGTGTACAGTTCACACAGAGTTCAGAGAGTGTTAGGTCCCCTGGAACTGGAGTTGCAGGTGCTAGTGCTGGGAATAGAAACCGAAGTCTTCTGGAAGATCAGCCACTGCTCAAACCTGCTGAGCCATTTCTTCCACCCTTACAGTCCCTTCTTTAAAAGTCTGTACCATTGAACCGATTGTTCACACAAACCACCACTTAAAAATCTAAGTGAACGGCCCATTTGTAGAACTCATCCCCAAACCTTCTGGGTTGGTAGATTTGATTGGAGTGAGAAAACTGTATTTTTATCAAGCATCTCAACTTGATGGTTCTGATACAGGTGACAGAAGGTGTTTGCTGGCCTTTGCTTTGTTTGAGGTAGGGTTTCATGGAACTTGGGTTGGCCTTGAACTCAAGGATGACCTTGAATTCTGATCACCCTGCTTTTACTTCCTAAATGCTGGAATTACAGGGCTGTGTTACCACACCCAGTTTTTTGTGGCAGTGAGGATGGGACACAGGGTTTGTTGCATGCCGGGCAAATGCTCTATCAGATAAACTCCATTCCAAATCTCTTGGATGGCATTTGAACAAATACTGTCTCATATGCCAGACTTTCCCAACAAATACAATGTTCACAACCAAGTCCATACAGAATTTATAAAGTAGAAGTCTTTGATGTTAATCTGAAGACAGTAGAGTTAGAGTGATATATAAGTGGCACAGTGGTCATAATTTCACACCCTTTCTTTTGCTATTGTTTATAGAGAAGACATTTCCTCTTTATATATTAGTCCAAATTGGACCTTCAGTCATGTCCCAAGACAATTTAAAATAGCCACTCTCAATAGTTTGGGAACTGATATATGACAAGGAACCCATTGGATATTCTTGACTGGGAGAAAATAAGATTAATATTTCAACTTCATCAGTGTGCTAAACCATCTGAATTGATTACCTAAAGCCTACCGCTATAACTACAGAACACCAGGAACATTGCTGTAACAACTGGCTAAGTATTTTGGGAAGAAATAATTAAACTTTCATGTGGGGAATTTTTTTTTGTATTAGTGGGTTTTTTTGGCTTTTTGTTGTTGTTTTGTTTTTGTTTTTTGTTTTTTGTTTGTTCTTTCAAGACAGGTTTTCTCTGTATTGTTTTGGAGCCTGTCCTGGAACTCACTCAGTAGACCAGGCTGACCTCAAACTCACAGAGATCCACCTGTCTCTCCCTCCTGAGTGCTAGGATTAAAGGCGTGCACCACCAATGCCTGGAGTGTATTAGTGTTTTAAATTAAACTTTTATATACTCATAGTGGCCGGGGAGATGGTTTGTTTGATAGTATGCTTGCCATGAAGACATAAGTCTTCACACACAAGAAAAATCCAAGCACAATTTTATGCCTATAATCCCAGGACTGGGAAGATAGAAGCAGGCAGATCCTTGGGGCTCACTGGCCAGCCAGTCTAGCTGAATCATGGAGTTCTAGGTTCAGTGAGAGACCCTGCCTCAAAAAAAAAATTCAGAGAAATCAAGGAACACCCCCTGATGTTGACCTCTGTCCTGTGCACACATGTTCACATATACACTAACATGTACACATGCACAAAAAATTTCAAGATATGTTTACTCATATAAATGATTTAAGCTACATAAAATAATCAGTGAAAAGAAAGTTGTCTTCTTACCCTAAACATTCACTATTCATCTGCAGGGGCAAGTACTTTTAAATTCTGAGATGAAGACATAAAAACAATCACAAGGATCCAGGTATGATAGAATACACATGTAGTACCAACACTTCAGAGGTGGAAGCCAGAGGACTGGAGAGTTTCAAGGCCATCCTGGAGTACCTAGGACCCTGTTCCTTTCAGACTCCAAATAAGCATACAAATAAGGATAGGTGGTTTTTTCCATAGAATTTGGACAATAAATGATAAAAAGAGAAACCATAAAGGGACAAAGTAAGGGAATTTAATGTATAAGCATTAAAGACTTTTATAAGACAAACTCAGTGAAAGAGGGCTGTGTGAATCCCTGGGCTCAATCTCCAAAACTACAATAAAATCAAGATGGTAACATTGGAGCATATAACTCCCACAATTAAAGTCATGCTTTCTAAACAAAAGGCTAACCACATGAATGCAGGTACCCTCCAGCTGTAACAGGCTTGGAGGAGATTCTTTGGCTGCAGATGTGAGGAAGACCCAGCCTTCCCTCTCTGAGCTATTCTCTGAGCTACTCTCTCCCCTGGCTTATCTTAAATCACAGATGTGACAAACTTCCCCCCAAGCAGCAGTGATGTCCTCAGCCCTGACAAATCTCCCCATAACCAGCCCCAAGATAATAATCAAACAGACCACAGTCTCTCCAGGATTACTAGTTATGCAAATCCCCTCGACACTGGCCCTTCTCTATATATAGCCACAAAGCTGTCGCTGAAACCTCAAAGACAGATTTTAGGTCGCTAGATTCTTTATTCTTCCTGCTATGTCTACACTGAAAATAAATCCTTCAGGGCTTTCAGCACTGGGGGATGAGTGACCAGGATGAACTGTTGGGACCCCAGAACCAGGTCTTGGGGCCAGGATTCTGGTAACAGCTGCAGTCAGTTTGAAGAAGGCCATCAAAGAAGTGTTATTTTAGACTTTTGTTTTTTGTCTTTATATTAACTTCCAAACTCTGACTTAAACAGCATAATATTAACGTGGAGAACTAGAAATAAAGATCCAGAGTAGGAGTTGAGATTTACTTAATTCAGAGACTCTGGTTCTGTCTCCTCCTCACTAGTCTATTACTTTTGTCTCTTCTGTGTGTTGAAGCAAGCCCCTGACAGCAGCTAGGCCTCATCACTCCACACAGTATCAGATGGGAAATCTGCACTTCCTGAGGTGCTTTGTCTTGTACCGCTCATTTATTTGTGTATGCATATATGTGTGCATATATGCGTGTATGTGCATGTATTCTGTACATGTGTGTACATGTATGGTATACATGCACTGTGGGCATGCATATGTGAAGGGGCCAGCTCCCCATTTCAGCAGCTGTTAGACCCCCGAAAACTCAAGTATCGGGGTCTCAGGCCAGGTTTGCGGTCACCCCAATCACCAGGTGGATTCGAGAGCTTGCTGCAAACTGCACGAGGCTTTATTGTAATTTAACGAGCTAACCCTATGTTAGCTCGGGTCTTTCACCCACCTGCCATGGCGGACGGCTAGAAAAGACGGCTCCTACGGGCTCCCAAAAGATCTTATAGGGCAGCGTAAGGGGAGTGTCTAGGGGTACGCACAGGCTTACGCACAGGCTCATGATTGGTGTGCTTCCAGGCTTGGAGGGCTTGCCCTGTGTTGATTGGTCAACTGGTTGTTATGCTCATAGGCCCTCCCAGGGTGGTTGCTATGCTCTCTACGTCATTGTCGTGCGCTTGTCCGTAAAGCACACCCAGGGTCATAAAGCATAGCGCCACCAGGTAACTTCTGATTGGCTCCCTGTCACGAGACAGGCATCTGACTTTCTAGTGTCTAGGTCAAGGTCATAGAAGCTCACAGCCATGACAGCCAAGCACATGCTTGCCTGACCTCGTCTTGGTCACTAGGAGATCAGATGCCTGATCCTTTCGGCAGCTAAGACAGCCTAGCATGTGCTTGTCTGACCTTGTCTTGGTCACTAAGGTCAGATGCCTGCCCCTTTTGGCAGCCATAACAGCCTAGCATGTGCTTGCCTGACCTTGTCTTGGTCACTAAGGTCAGATGCCTGCCCCTTTTGGCAGCCATAACAGCCTAGCACGTGCTTGCCTGACCTTGCCTTGGTCACTAGGAGGTCAGATGCCTGCCTCGTGGCAAGGAACCAATCAGAAGTTAGCTGGTGGTGCTGTGCTTTACGGCTCTGGGTATGCTTTACAGATAAGTACACAGCAATGACGCACAGAGCATAGCAACCACCCCGGGAGGGCCTGTGGGCCATAACAACCAGTTGACCAATCAACACAGGGCAAACCCTCCAAGCCTGGAGACACACCAATCCTGAGCCTGTGTGTACCCCTAGACACTCCCCTTACACTGCCCTATAAGATCTCTATGCAGTGGCTTCTTGCCGTCTTTCCTAGCCATCCGCCATGGTGGATGGATGGAAGGCCCTAGCTGACATGGGTTAGCTCATTAAACAACTTCAATAAAGCCTCGTGCTGTTTGCATCAAGCTTTCGCCTCTGCATGGTGATTGGTGTGGCCTCAGTCCTGGACCGAGATCCTGGGGGCCTGAGCCTCCTTGGGTCTTTCATGTGTGTGTGTGTGCGTGCGTGCGTCAAACCAAGGTACTTTTAAGAATGAAGGAACTTTTCCTAGAAGCCCCTGGCACATCCTCACAGGACACCAATTCAAATTTGGTCATGCTTGTTGTATGACTTATCCTGGAGAAACATAACCTACCAGCCAAAGTGACAATTCCATCAAAATCCAACTTAGGACACCAAAGACTGTATTAGTGTTGCTTACAAGAGCATAGAGGAGGGTTACTCACATGGGGGCATGGATGACTCAAAGACAGAAAAGTGCACCCCAGCTGCTGCACAGCTCCCAGGCCCCTTGCAGGTCAGTGAGTCTTCTGCAGGCAGCTTGGCTGATGGTAAAATTGGGGTGTGCCCAGCAATCTTTTGCTGCTTTTATGCTTTGGGAGGAGCCTTGTGTGTCTTATAAACTTGTGAAGTTCCTTTACTTCTTGAGTCTCGCGAGCCCTTCCCTCCTTCTAGCAAGAAATGTTTCCATTCCGAGAAAATTGTTACACATGCTGACTCCATGCCTTAGGTCCAGAGTCTTCGTGGGACTATCCAGGAAAAGATGACAAAAATCTCTTCACATGATTGTCCAGGAAAAGGTGAGAAAATCCCTTACCATGATTGTCCAGGAGAAGGTGAGAAAATCTCTGAGAATGTGCTTGGGAAGAGTGACCCTTGTCCACCCTTCCTTCTGGCTGTGGTTCAACAGCGACACTGCTTATTGGATCGATTCCTAGTTTGGTTGTCTGAAGCTCTTCTAGTGAAACAGTTTTTGAGGATCTCATTCCTAAATTCTTAAGTGATAAAAATATGGATGATATGGTACTACCACTTGAGTTAGACAACTCACCTGCTGTCAGAATAGCCATTCCACCACAAAATCAAGCTGTATTATGTCAAACATCTGGCCACTATTGCCAAACCAACATGAGGTGGGGCAACATCTTGCTTTATAACTTACCAGGTTTCCTCAGCTCTGTGACAGAGCAGTCCTAGACTGCATCATCTCTCCAAACCAAGGCACTATACTCTAGAAGACTGGAAAGCCTGTACCCTGGGACCCAGGGAATTTTGAGACCACACTTCAACATAGGTGTCTTGTAATTAAGATGGCTTTAGGATTCATGTATTACATAGTTAGACAACCACAATAAAATGCAGTGCAAAGATCTCTTGCCAGTTGAGCATGCTATACTCACTGTAAAATCAGAAGTTCAACCTCCACTTACTGATCTTGAACCACTGTTCACTGAGGCATTCAGATCTACAGCTCAGTGGTTGTCTCACTATGAACTTGATACAGTCTTTCTTGATAGACTCCCTGCCTATGGGCAAGATGATACATTGGGCCCTGTTGGTTGCGCTTTTATAGTTCAGCTCTGAATGATTGCAGCATATGCTGGGGTGACGTTTTTCATGGCTATTGAATCATTCATTGAGAACAGACTATTTTGTGGAGCCGCTGTGCTCCCGAATGTAGGTTCTGAGACAACTCTTTTCAGTGAACATAAGGCAGATGAAAGAAATACATGGAAGCCTAGCATAAAAGCACTAAGGCTTGCTGGCCATGAGATGGTAGCTCCTAGAAACATTCCAAATTTTCATAAAGCTGCCACGAAGAAGAGAAAGATAGATATTGTATTCCATAATTATTGATCCAATAAAAAAAATATCAAAACTTACTGATGGCTCAGAGTTTAAGAGCACTAACTGCTCTTCCAGAGGTTCTGAGTTCAATTCCCAGCAACCACCTGGTGGCTCACAACCATCCTTATGAGATCTGGTGCCCTCTTCTGGTGTGCAGATATACATGGAAGCAGAATATTGTATACATAATAAATAAATAAAATCTTTAAAAAAAAGAAATAGAGAATAACATTCAAGATCTTTTCTGGAGAAAAGAGGCTTGGTGGGCACCAGCAGATGCCAATGAAGACCCCAATCCTGCAGGAGAGGGTGAAGTTCCAGGTCCTGATGCAGCTCCCACCCACAACTGCAAAATTAGAGAGAGAAAAAAAAAACCACACATTTGACTAATCCCCTCAGTAGATTGTCAGGCCCTCAGAGATGAGCCCAAGGAAAAGACTAGCCAGGTTCAGCCAGTGTGTGTGTGCAAAGGAAAGGCAAAGGACCAGATACTTATGACACAAGAATGCCGGGGTCTGGCCTGTATCAGTCCCATGCTACAGAGGCCATCTATTCCAGACTGATGTCTTTGGGGCTGCGAACAGAACCAGCCCAGCAGCTCTGGGTCCAACCCTGAGTGGAGGAGTGTGGATTGGAAACTCCTAGCTACCCAGTGGCGTAGTCCTGAGACATTTTGTCATCTCAGGAGGGCTCTCGGTTTATATTGGAGTTCACAGTTTATTCAAGCATCCTCTTAAATAGCTTTCCAACAGTGGGAGTGATAGCAGAAGACATCTATTATCAGGTATAAAGCTGATATAAAATATTTCCTTTAATTCTAGAGACACCCCTAAAACTAGTCCCTCTTCAGTCCCTAGGCACGATCCACCAGCCCCCAAGATGGGTGTGCGTCCACCCAGGGGCCTAGACCTATTGCCACACAAACTAGGGACCATTTCCCACCAAGGCCAGGCATCCAGAGGTAATAAGCCAGCATCTGAAAGACAGTGGGAGATTCAAGCTCCTAGAATTGAGCTGAGGTTTACACCAAAAATATCATAATCAATCTTTGGGCCGACAGAAGGCCTGTTCAGTACCAGTAAATCCTAGATTCAGAGCAATTCAAGGAGGTGATAAGGATGGCTTCTGGGGGGTGGGGTGCTGGCTTGGAGTCAGAGCCCATTGTTAGGCTGCAACATAACTTAAAGCAATCCTAAGTCTAACTGTTGCCAGGCCTACAGGTTCACAGACTGTTGGTTAAAGCTGCCATGAGGCTATTAGCTAAATTTGTATTTCTAAGGGGTGGGGGTCTCATGGTTTGTATGCCTATATTTTGGGTTGTAGAATATTTGTTTAACTTTATAGAGATGTGTTACATTTGTTCAAGTATGTGAAGATGTGTTGCTGTTTTACCTTGCCTGCCTAAGGCACCTGGTTAGTCTAATAAAAAGCTGAACAGCAAATAATGAGGGAGGAGGTACAGGCTGAACTTCTGGGCAGGGAGAGTAAGTAGAAGAGGAATTTGGGCTCCAGAGAAGAAGGAAAAGAGACACCAGGGAGGCTGGGCGGTGGTGGAGCACGCCTTCAATCCCAGCACTCGGGAGGCAGAGGCAGGCAGATCTCTGTCAGTTCAAGACCAGCCTGGTCTACAAGAGCTAGTTCCAGGACAGCCTCCAAAGCCACAGAGAAACCCTGTCTTGAACAAACAAACAAACAAACAAACAGAGAGAGAGAGAGAAAGAGTCACCAGGGAGATGCGAGGGACCAGATAGACAGACAGACATGGAGGAAGCAGGAAAGTAGGACATACAGAATGAAAGAAAGGTAAAAACTCCAAAGCAAAACGTAGATGAATATTAACAGGTTAAAGTAAGTTATAAGAGCTAGTGGGACAAGCTGAAGCTAAGGTCGAACATCCATAATTAATAATGAGTCTCCCTGTCTTTATTTGAGATCTGGCTGGTAGCCCAAAGAAAACTCCAACTACAAGTTTCAGGTTTAATTTGTTTTACTCCTTGTTTCTATTCCTTCAGTACTGTACTTCCTTCGGTAAGGTGACTTCTTTTGTATTTTGAAATGAGGTGGGGCAATATGTGCATAATTGAACAAATAAATGACACAATTTCTTTTTATTTTAAACTTTGCCTTTGTCAAGTGATGGCAGTGCACACCTTTAATCCCAGTACTTGGGAGGCAGAGGCAAGTGGATCTCTATGAGTTCAAGGCCAGCCTGGTCTACAGAGTGAGTTCTAGAATAGCCAGGGCTACACAGAGAAACTCTGTCTCGAAAAACAAAAACCACAACAAAACAAAATAACTTTGCCTTTTATCTTGGGACTCAGGACTAAGTTTATGGTAGCTATATTGGTTACTCTAGCTTTATAATGGGTCTGAAAATTAAGTAGTATGGAGTCAAGTGTGATGGTACATTCCTTTAAAGCCATGCTCAGGGGCAAAGGCAGGCAGATCTCTAAGAGTGCAAGGCCAGCCTAGTCTACACAGAGAATGCTAGGCCATCCAGGCTACATAGTAAGACCCTGTCACAAAAACCAACCAAACAAAAGACAAACAAATGAAAAAATAGTACTTGATAGTGTGATTGCTTCATTTTTGTGGGGTCCGGGTGCTTTTTGTTTTGTTTTGTAGCCTATGCTGTCCTCAAACTTGCTACATAGTCAAGGATGGTTTTGAACCCATAATCTTTCTGCCTCTACCTCCTGAGGGTTGAGATTACAGGCATGTGACATTTATTTATTCCCTTATTTTAAAATTTAGTTTTGTTTTGGTTTAGGTTTAATTACTTTTTCTCTTTTTCATTTATGTGTATAAATGCTTTCCTTGCTTATATATCTGTGTATCACATATGTGCAGTGCTCATGAAGGCCACAAGAGGGCACAAGGTCTCCTGGAATTGGAGCTCCAGATGGTTGTGAGCCATCATGTGGGTGCTGGAACCAAACCCAGGTCCTTTGCAAGGGCAGCCAGTGCTCTTAACTGATGAGCCATTCCCCTGGTTTAGTTATTTTGGTTCTTTGCCCTTTCCATAAATTTTGGGACTAACTGTTTATATTCATAAAACTACTATATATTTACACCAGGATTGGGCTGTGTGGCCCAATGAAGTCATTGTTAGGTGCAAACCTTCCAGTTTTGTTTGCTTTGTTCATTTGCCTATCCTTGACCTTTACCCCCCACTGGCAGGAAGGCAGGCACATAGAGAGTACACCATTTGGCATGCTGTTTGCTAATCAGATTCTCACCTGTCCACTCCATATTTGCTTTTGTCCAAAGCTTTTCTTGAGTCCCACTGTGAACACAAAGTTGTGCCCATGATCCTGCTGTGGTGTCTTCCCAGAAGAGTGGAGCTCAAGGGAGACTGGGAATGGAAGAAGCAAGAAGTTCTGACAATACCAATTGTTTAGGTAATTTTTTAACATCCTGATTTAAACTTACAAGTTCAATATATTTAAAGTAATAACCCAGGGCCAGTCAAAGGATAGTTCAGTAGGTAAACATGCTTGCCACTAAACCTGACAATCAAAGTTTGATTCCCAGAACTTACATGGCAGAAGGAGAGAAATGATTCCTGCAAATGGTCCTCTGACCATCACTCACAAACAGTGGTACAAGCATACATGCATTCACAGACACACACTCACTGAATGAATGAATTAATGTAAAAATTAAAATAAGAACCATGGACAGGCGGTGGTGGTGCATGCCTTTAATCCCAGCACTCAGGAGGCAGAGGCAGGTGGGTCTCTGTGAATTCTAGGACAGCCTGTTCTACCCAGCGAGTGCCAGGACAGCCTCCAAAGCTATACAGAGAAACTCTGCCTCAAAAAAACCAATAGAAAAAGAAAACAAGAATTATGAAACAAAGACAGTAGAGAAGGAACAAAGACTAGTATGGAACACTCAGTGCTGTTGTGTGGACATAGAGTGTCTTCCGGCGACTCAGGTGTTAAGGATGTGACCTTGGGTCACTGGGGCATGCCCTCCAAAGCAGCTGTGGGGAACTGACTTCTTTTCCCTTTGCTCTCTTGCTATGAGGTGAATGGGCCTCTTCTGTGGTTCCTACCACTGTGTCTCACCACAGGCCCAGAACAACAGGGCCAATCAGCCATGGAGTGAAACATCCAAACTGAGACAAAATAACCCCTCCCTCTTTCTAAGTTTATCTCATTACCAGACGGTGACTAACATACTTACAGCAGAAACAAACTTAATTGTATAATTAGCGCAAGGAAAAATACTCAGCCACGTTTAACATCAGAGAAATGATACATTAAGACATAATTGTAAACTGTGATTCTAGCTACTTGGAAGACTGAGGTGTGGGGATAGGGAATTCCTGGCCAGCTTGTGTACCATAGTGAGACCCTTCTCAAAAAAAAAAAAAAAAAAAAAAAGTGAATAAAATAGATACAATTTTATATTAACCAAGTTAGCAATAATACTGAATTTTGACAATTGAATGAGAAATACAAACTCTTAATACTTGCCAGCTGGAGTATAAAATGAGACAATAACTTGAAAGGCAGCATTGACTAGTCAAGTAGAAGGTGATAGAATACGACATTCCCATCTCTAAGTTGACATCCTAAAGAAACTCTCAAAACTGTGTGTCAAGGCAACAATATATATATATATATATATATATATATATATATATATATATATCACATGTGTGCTTGGTGCCCTGGGAGTTTGGAAGAAGGCTTTGTTTTGGATCCCCTGGAACTGGGGTTATGGGTGCTTGTGATCTGAGCCCTGCTCCTCTGCAAGAGCAGCAAGTGCTCTTAACTGCTGAATGAGTGAGTTAGTGAGTTGGACCAGAGAGAGCCCTTCATGTTGATATTAATAGTCTTTTTTTTTTTTTTTCCCCGAGACAGGGTTTCTTTCTGTAGCTTTGGAGCCTATCCTGGCACTCGCTCTGGAGACCAGGCTGGCCTCGAACTCACAGAGATCCGCCTGCCTCTGCCTCCGCCCAGCTAGTCTTTATTTTTTAATTGAGGAATATACACACAGAGATGCTCTGAATCATACATACTTTTATATTTGTCTGTTCAATAATAAGATCTCTTCTAAATCCGCCAAGATGAAACTATATACCTTTGTAACTATAGATACAGCTTTCCCATTTCTTTTCCTTTTTATTTATTCTTAATTTTATGTTTTTGTGTGTTGTGTGTTTTGTGTGTGTGTGTGTCTGGAGGCTAGACTGGCTAGGCCCACTGGCCAGCAAGCTCTGGGATCACCTCCTCTCTCTCTCTCCAGAGCTGACATTACAGATGTGTCCTGCTGTGCCTGTATCCTGGCTGAGTGCTAAGGATCTGGACTCAGGACCTCACGTGTTCCAACAAGCATTCTACCAAATAAATGAGCCAGCTCCCCAACCCTCAATAGTTTTCTTTAAGGCTGGAACTTGTAGTGCATAATTTCAGTTTTGGTTTCAAACTCCAAATCCTGAACAACAACAACAAAAGCATTTTTCAGTTAAAATAAAAAATAACTAGTTTGGGTAGTTAATTTTAAGGGTTCTTAAGTGGCATTAAAACCCTCATCCCAGTTCCTTCAGTTTGAATGTAAGGCCACTATCCAAGAAAAAAGGGAGTTCCATGCTGGGTTTTATGTTTTGAAGCTGTAAGAGCCCCATTAAAAATTAGCCACTGCAGGAGGCAGGCAGCATAGGGTCTGCTTCTCCAAATACCAGAGTGCATACCAAGGTTGTTATGTTGTTTGGGAGATAACTTTTAGTTGGGAAAACTTCAAGGGGTTCACTGTAAGTTCAATTACATCTGAAGCAAAATAATTTATTGTAATTTATTAGTCGTTGAATATCCATGGCACTCCCCCACACGTCCCAGCTCCCTTGCTCCTAGGTGGGTCTGTTTGAGGAGTTATGACATGAGCCAAGAGTGGAAGTGACATCTGTCACTTCTGGGACAAAGCACTCTTTGGTTCCTTGAAGGCTCTCTTTTGTTCTTTGCCATAGCAACCACAGAAGCCAGATGAGATGGAGGATGAGGCAGGACACCTGCAGCTAACTTTAAGTGAGTGAAAAATAAGCCCCAGCAAGCGAAGCAGGAAGTTTGGGGATTGTTTACTATCTATGCCAGCTAATGTTTGACAGACTATCCAATACAGTCGCCATGTCTGTGACCGCAGACAAGCATGCAGACTGTGAATAGTAACATTTCTCTAAGTAACATATCTTTTGTTAAAATGTTTCATGGAAAGGGAATTCTTGCTTGTTTACATCTTTAGTTAGAAAAGAGTCCAGTGGAAACTATGTCAGCTGTGGTTGACACAGGACACAGTCAAATTTAGTCTTACTTAAGATCCTGACTCCATCTGAATGACTGGGTGACCAAAACTATTTTTATCCAGAATAAATCCATTTTCTTTGTCACACAGACGAAGACAGTATGAAGAATAACACAGCGTCTTGTTTTCAGGACCAAGTGACTTACCTTATATTTCCCATTAATTTCCCTTCACTAAGTTCCTCTTAACTTTCTCAAAGGCAATGAACTAATTTTAATTTGTTGCCACAGAATTGAAAATAAAAAGTGAGATAACTTGCTCTACAATATACAGCAAAAATCTGTAGCAGCCAATGCCATAACTTTTGTTACCTGTGTCTTTAGTGTCCGTGAGAGTGAGAGGCTGCATCAGAGGAGGAGATGGGGAAGTTGAAATTAGACTTTCATTTCCAAGGATGATATTAAGTAATTAAGTGTTCCCATTAAGGGAAGCTAGAGAGAGCTGGAACAGGATGTCAAAGCTGTCTTACAGGAAAGAGAGTGCACAGCAGTGAGGAATAGCCAGTCTGCTGTCATGGAGAAGGTGTTTGTCTGCCGCCATCTGCATGGACTGGTGCCATTTTTGTCTTGAGAGTGTCCAGTAATCCTGATCAGTGCTTTTGGGGCCCAGGGAACAAAAGTTAGCATCTAGAGCCCATGCTGGCCAGGGTAAGTGCCCATGCAAAAAAAGGGGCATGCACAGGATATGAGTGAGAAGTGGATAGACCAGCCGTGCAGCTAGATTGTAGTTATGTCCCCAAGTACCTGGCAGAAGACAAACTGTCTTTGGAAAAAGAGACTATCATTGTAGACTTCCAGTTATTTTTACAAATCATTAAAAATACAATTGTCAGAACATAGGGAAATGTAACCAAGCATATAAAAAATTAAAACACCATAAACAAAAAAAAATAAGTAAAATAGACTATAGAAATGAGCCTGCAGTGATTTCAGAATTAGGTCATAAAGCCACTATTTTAGTCAAGTTCAGATAGGTTAAAGTGAAGATTGGCAATTTTTATTTATTTTATTGTATTGGTTTTTGTTTGTTTGTTTGCTTTGTTTTAAGACAAGGTTTCTCTGTCACCCTGGCTGTCCTGGAACTCTGTAGATCAGGCTGGCCTGGAAGTCAAAGATCCGCCTGCCCCTGCCTCCAGCCTGTCTCTGTTTCCAATGCTGGGACTTAAAGGCATGTGCCACTATACCCAGCTAAGCGTGGCTGTTTGAGCAGAGGACTAACTGTCAAGTATTAACCCCACATAGTCCAACACTCACAGGGGAGAAAGGGTATAGCTCGGTGCTAGAGTCCTTACCTTTCATACATGAAGACCTGGATTTCATCTCCAGCACCCCAACCCCCATAGAGAAGAAATACATGCCCAGCAGAGTTTAAAAGAATCAATTAGAAATTCTAACCATAGAAATGAAAGACTAAATTAAACAAACAAACAAACAAACAAAAACTAATGGGGCTGGAGAGATGGCTCAGTGGTTAAAAGCACTGGGCTGTTCTTCCAGAGGATCAGGGTTCAAATCCAAAGAACCAAGCTCACAGCCAACTGTAACTTTAGTTGCAGGGGATCAGACTACCCTTCTGAACTCCATAGGCTCCTACACGCATGTGGTGTACATACATATATTCAGGCACACACACACCCATCAATGAAATTAATAAGAGAGAGAGAAATAAACTCATGAGAGGCTAGAGGATAGTTCAGTGGGTAAGAGGGCTTGCTGAGCAACCTTAAGGTACTGAGTTCAGATCTCCACACCCATGTGAAAAATCTGGAGGTGACTTCACGATGCCTTTTATCCCAGTGCTATAAAGGGTGGAGGCAAGAGTATCTCTGGGGCTTGCAGGCTGGTAGCCAGAGGGTCAGGTTCTGGGAGAGATCTGTCTCAAGGAATGAGAGAGAGAGGGAGGGAACAAGGCACCCACTGTCTTCCTCTGGTGCATACGCTGTTCTCGGGCACTCACACACATAAACAGAAACACCTTTAAATGCAGGGTTTTAGAATGAATTATGGATAGTTCAAGACACCATTTAGAAAGAAGCACAGGGAGAAAAACAAATGGACAAAGGAAAGTGACAAGGTGGAGTGGAAGTGTCTAACATGCTGAACTGTCTTTTCAAAAGACCAAGAGAACCAGGCAGAAGCAGTGTTTTAATGAGGCATTCCTTTGAAGCTCTTCAGTTTCTAGACATCAGCTCACAAATGCAAGGAGACAAGTGAATGGCTAGAACACGTAAGAAAGAAGCCACACATAGAAACACAGCACAGCAACAAACCGAAGGCAACCAGAGGCAAAATGTTTACCTTCGTGGAAGGAATAGTTTGACTGCCAACTTCTGAGCAGCAACTGTAGGAGCCAAAATCCTAAGCAAGGGAGCTTTCCATGTTGTTGTGAATATCTGTCAGCTTAGAACTATATATTCAGTGAAAATCCACTCAAACACCAGAACCAGCCTTATTTCTGTAATTAAATGCATTCCCCCAATCTGATTTTCCTGTCTCTACCTCCAAGTGCTAGGATCACAGGTGTGTACCACTCTTCTTGGGCTTTATGCTATGGGTAGAAAGTACTCAGGGCAAATCTTACAGAGTTGCTTTTTTTTTTTTCCCTCCCCTGCTGGCTTCTGAACTTCAGGTTCTTGGTTAGTAACATCAAGGAACCAGGGTAGAGTGAGACAGGACTGGAAAAGAAGCCAACATGACTGCTTAAGAAAGTTCTCAGTTGGCTGACATTTTTCTACAAAGGTTTGATGTTCTTTAAAGCTAGTGAATTTTTTAAAATGGACCTCTGAAAGGGAATTTTCATAATTCATGAATATCCATAGTTTTTATTGATTGGAAAGAGAATTTTAGATTAATTTCTGTATTTCAGTGCTTTTGAGACAGGATCTTACTATGTAGCCATTGACCTGCGTGGAACTCACTGTGTAGACCAGGCTTAGCCTTGAACCCAGAGATTCACCTGCCTCTGCCTCTTGAGTGCTGGAATTAAAGGTGTGTGATGCCTGGCTAGAAATATGGTTTTTGTTGTTGTTTTTGTTTGTATGTTTGTTTTGAGACAGAATTTCTCTGTGTAGTCCTGGTTGTCCTGGATAAACCATGCTGGCCTCACACTCAGATATCTGCTTGTCTCTGCCTCCTAACTGCTGGGATTAAAGGTGTGTGCCATTACCACCTACCCAGTGATAAGCTTTTAAAATCACATTCTAGATACCAAATTCTAGTTGCATTTGGTATAAATGTGATTTCCACTCTCTAACTTGCTTTTCCTTTCTTCATGGGGGTCTTGATAAATATGTTACTAATTTTAACATAGCTAGAATAGAATTCATCATTCCTTCCTTTAAGTTAATACCCCTCTCCTTGGTCACTTTTTTATTAGACATGCCAACCCTTTTACTGTGTGTGTGTGTGTGTGTGTGTGTGTGTGTGTGTGTGTGTGTGTGTGTGTGTGTAGGTACCCAGGCCAGGGCTTCACACATTTCTCATTATTTTAAAATCCAGGTCTAGGATCCATTGAGGTAGCCTGGTGGATAAAAGGAAGCCTAACAATGTGAGTTAATCCTCAGGACCCACATGGTGGAAGGAGAGAACCAGCTCTCACGAGTTATCCTCTTCACATAAGCTCTGAAACATGTGAAACATGCGGAACACGTGCCCCTTCCCCCCACCGCTGCTGTCCCACCACCACAGTAAGTAAAAATAAAATCTGAGTGTAACTGTATACTATTGAGCAGAAGTTGGTGGTTTAACCAGCATCCATTTTCCTCTTCTTCCCTAATTACAAAACAAACTTGATGAGAGGTTTTAAGGAAAAGGTAAATCCTAAAATCATAGGTTGTTTGGCCAAAGACACCCCACTCTTGATCTGCTGAATCAGAATTCTTGTAATGGAACTTGGATGTGTAGAATTTTTAAAAGTCTCACACGCCTGTAAGGATTCATTGTGCTTAAGATTGCAAAGCAAAACAGAAAAAGCAAGCACAGTGCTTAGGGTGCTGCAGAAGTCAGGGGATGCTGCTGCCTGGAAAGCACACTCTGGAACAGGGTCCACAGAGGGCACAGGCAAGAAAAACATGCTGGGTTTGGCTTGTGTCTGCAGTCAGGAGTAAACTAAGAGCACTACCCCACAGAGGTGAGGATAGAGTTCAGGGCGTATGGCATGGAGGATGAGGAGTGGGGAGGAAGGGAAAACATTTAAGCAGGGTGGATGTAATGAAAATCACTCTGCTTAATGAAAAAATTTCAGTTTTTAAGATTTGTGAAGGTACACGTTTAAATTTTAAAGTTGAAGGAGAGCACAGAGACCCTCTGTCTGAATTCCATCTGATAGTTACATTTTCTCCCTGTGTGTAGTAGCTAGCAAACAATGAACTCCACATTCCAAAGAGCTAGAAGTATTTATGAGAGTACTCACCCTAAAGAAAGGCTGAGTATTTAGTGAGATAAGCATGTTCAATCTGATTGAAATATCACTTAGTACATTAAATGTATCCAATGGTGCATGTGGACTATATTACGATTTCATATATAAGTAAAAATGAATTAGATAAGATTTCAGTGAAAGTTCTTTCTTTTCACAGGCTCAAACCCCTCAGATTTCACTGACTGACATGGTTGAGACAGGAAGACAGGTGTCAGCTGTGAGGGAGTGTCCTCTTACTAATAAACTTATTTAATGGCATTCCAAAGGAAATGATGAAAAGGGTCTAATTTGATCATTTGTTTAGACCCTGGGATCAAATTTAAATGAATAGGACAGTGGACAAACAGCTGTTGGGGAGCAGCAGGAGTCAGAGAGAGAGGAGGGAGTGGGGAGAGGGCTAACCAAAATTCAGAATGCATGAAAAAGCCTTAAGGAATCTACTACTTTGTAAACCAATTTTACAAAGGTGTTTGGGTGGAGGCGCCCTGCATGGATGGGTAACACGGTTCCCAGAAATCCAGGCTTTAAATGAAAATCCCAGGCTAGGGATGGGTTGTTGGTCAAGGAGACCTGGCCCCCAAATCAATACAGCTATTGACATTACTCATGGTGGCCCACCAGAACTAGGTGGTAACACCATACTACTAAGAGCACACATGCTCTCTCTGCTAGTAGGATGGAGAGAAAGCTAGAGCTAAGATGGAGGCTTATTCCCTGCTAGCTAGCCTTCATAGTGCTAAAAACATTTGGGTAACCAGGGAAGAAAAATATTAACCGATCTTACCCAGCTATAGAACCTGCAAGCTATGACTTGTAAGGCAAAATGTACTCAATGTTGTAATAGTGGTATGGCTGTTTGGGGGTGACTAACCACTTTCTGCTTGCATTTTGGAGGGATATCATGCCTGGTATAAAACTAATCAATAGACTATAGTGGGGGAGACCATAGGCCCTAAGCATCGTGGTTATCACTGTCGATTTACTAAATGAACCTGTTGTGCCCACCAGACTGCCTTTTAAATATTTATATTCTTGTCATAAGCTAGTGCTACCCGAAGCCTTGGTCAGAGAAGCCTGTTCTTGCAGTGGTGTCAGAGACTGGTCAAAATGCTGAGAGTCAGTGTCTGCTGAGTCATCAGCCCTAAAGGAGGCACCCTCACCTCCAAGGCTCAGAGAACATCAAAGAATGGAAAGAATGCAAACCAGCCTTCTGGACTCCACAGGGCCACTGTACTCACACCCCTCCACCCAGCACCAGTAACCTGTAAAAGACCAGTGCAAGATTAGGCCTGTCAACGTTCCAACATGGGGAGCGGAGGGACTTATTCGACCCACCTCCTTTGAAGAGCTAGTCGTAGTTTATGGTGTAAGAGAGATGTTTTCTTCTGTGGAGTAGCCACTGGTAAACAGCCTGATGAATAAACCCTGTGCTCATTCATGCAACCCTAGTGGGACACACATCAAAGTGAAGGGGCCCTAGTTAAGAAGAAGAAAGGATTCGCTGAGGGAGGGGAGGGATGAGAGAAGACAATGAGATCAAATACATTATAGACATCTATGAAATTATCAGGAATAATCCTAAAAAGAAATGCCTATTCTTCCAGAATGAGTCGATCCTTTGTTTTAGCTTTTACAAGGAATTATAAAACCTCAGATTTTAGCTGTGTGATTTTTAATGTCAACCTCAAATAAAAAAATTTGAGAAGACGTCATTTCGGGACTATTTGGGTTGGAAGTAAAAGATGTGCCGTTAAAGGTGGCTCGGCCCCACCCATAATGTGCCATTTAAGATGTCTAGAAGCTCTGGGGGTGGCTGGTTCTTCTAGTGTCTTTCACGTTATGGCCACAAGATGGCGCCAACGCTCAAACTATCACTTCAGAGAGCCGTGGCGAAGGAAGAAAAGCCAGCAAAGGGGCTTTCTCTTCGTTCCAAGTCTCCCTAAGTAGAAAGAAAAATGGAGGCTCTTTGCAGAATTCCTGGGCAACTTCATCACAGGTCCCTTTTTAGGGACGGAGAGCGCCCTGCCTTTCTTACTGTGCAGCTGAGCTCTGGGTTTGCACTTCCGGAGCAAATGGGGCTTTTATTTACATATTTAACGTTTTTGTTTGTTGTTGTCTTAATCAAGGAAGATGTGGGAAAGAGCTATTGGATAGGCTAGGGATAGTGCCTGCCAGAGGGGCTCAGGAGAAACCGCAAACGCCAGATTCCCCGCCTCATGTCAACGTGTGAGCCAAGGCCGATTCAGAAATGGTTTTTCTTCCTTTGATAATGACTTATTCGCTGCAGTGACTTAGAAAAATGATTGAACTAAATTCCCTGCCACCAGAGACTTGATGTATATAGAGATTAACAATAAAACTATTTTTAAAAGTCATTCCTTCTAACCCAAACTTCTTACTCTAGCTCTCACTGAGTTAGTTGTACGAATCACCTCCAATTTACATATTATAAAAGAGAGCCTTACATGGAGAATAAATCATTTTCAAACTAGACATTCCATCTAAAACTGACAGTAGTTGGTTCCCAGCACGTCTTTTATGTCTGACATGCTTTTAGAAGAGTAATCATGACTCTCGGAATAAAATTTTCTTCTCAAAGCTCTTTTTTTTTTTTTTTAAAGAATAAAGCAATTATTCTTTCTTTTTGAAATTGCATGTCAAGTCCAGAAACATCGACTTCTTTAAAATATTAATGTGGAGTGACTGGGGTAATTTTGTCTTGCATGCTTCCCACTTTCCTTCAGTGTCCCTTGCTTGTTTTGGCAGACCCTTACTCCTACTAGAGTTCCATTGCACACCAATTATCCCAAGCTACAGCTGCCCACGGACAGCTGTTCTCACTGCCCTCCATGGAGCCTCCACTTCCGTGGGAACCTTGCCTTCCTGGTGTGGCTACCAAGCTGAGGCTTCCCGCCTGGCTTGGGCACAGAGCAGTTCATCTGCTCAGACTGACTGCTGGACAGTTGCATCTGGAGCCAGTGAGAAGTACAGGGTGGAACCTGGCACCAAACAGCCTATGTCTTGCTAGGTTTGTTTCCGGGAGGGGACGTGAGCCTGGGAATTGCTATTGCAGTATTGATAATTTGAACGGGAACCAGTGTGTGAGGAAAGCTGAGAGGGGGAAGCAGGGGAGGAAGTCCTGGGCTTTACTTTGTTACATAACCCAGAAAACTCATGTTTTGCTTAAGCCTCTGTTTGGCTCATGAATTTTCTTGCACGTGACCAAAAGAGTTCTAAGTTATACAAGAAAAGTCTCAGACACTGACTATTTCAAAAGCTAATATAGAAAACATGTAGGGAACGAATTCATTTATAACTAATATTCAAAATTTTTAGTCTACCTCACTACATAATAATGATCACTTGTCAGAGAAGAGTTTAAGTTAGCACTCTCTGTAGTATATGTTTAATGCAACCTAGTCTCTGCAATGATGATATGCCCTAGGAGCAGATTGGGCATGCATATTTGTTTCCTTTTTGAATCATAATTGTTTTGCAATACCATGGAATAAGATAATGTTGGCCACATCTAGGAATACTGATAAATTATTGGTATACATAAACGTCTCTTTCTGAAGTGTCTGATGTGTAATTCTCAAGTTTCTCCCGCCATTCCTTTTCTCCAGCAGCACCCTTGTAGGAGACAGACACGGCAGACTGACACAGCTGTTGTGACCACACTCCCCATGCCTGGCTGAGGGCCATTTGAGTCTGGAGATGAAGAGCATTGTGGAGAAATTTTTCTCTGCAGAAAAGTTCCCAAGTCAATACTGCCAGCTTTCCCCTTGGTCCCCCACCCTCACCCCTTGGAGCTGAGGCCTGAACCCAGGGCTAATCAAACCACTGAGCTAAATCTCCAACCACTCCCTTGGTGACTTTTGTCACTCTCTACCTGAGGTGCCCAAACCTTGTCAAACTGTAAGAAACCTTTTGTGACAGGCCATGATGACACAGGGTAATGCCAGTGGGTAACCAGTTTATCCACCTGGAAGGATCCCCAGATACAGGCCCAGTTTGTTTATTTTTTTAATTTGTTATATGCATGTGTGCTTTGCCCGTATACATGTCTGTGCCCCGAAAGCATGCAGTGCCTTGGAAGTCAGAAGAGGTGTCAAGTCCCCTGGAACTGGAGTTATGGGCAGTGGTGAACCATGATGTGGGAGCTGGGAATTGAACCTGGGTCCTCTAGGAGATCGGCCAGTGCTCTCAGCTGCTGAGCCCGCCTCACCAGCCCCGTTTCCAGTTTATTTCTTAGGCACAATGGGAAACATGACAATTTTTGTCTCTTTTTGCTACTGAAGGACACATTAATTTTGCTATTGATTAAAGTTATCTCCATAAGCAACTCCCCTGTTGTAGATCATACAACTATGTTAGTGGTGCTACCTCAGGGCCCTGAGTTTTATTTTTAATAGATAATAGTTCACAGGCCTCTAAAGTCAAAGGAACAAAGTTTCCTTCTCATTTCCATCCTCTATATGTGCATTTCTTCTCCCCAGAGGGGACTTGTCTTAGTAAGGGTTCTGTTACTGTGATGAAACACCGTGACTGTCCTGTTTAGGGTTACTGTTGCTATGATGAAACACCATGACCAAAAGCAAGTTGGGGAGGGAAAGGGTCTGTTTGGCTTACACTTCTACTTGTGGTCTGTGGTAGTTTGGATGAAAATGGCTCTCAAAGGCTCATAGGGAGTGGCACTGTTGGAGTAGGTGTAGCATTATTGGAAGAAGAGTGTCACTAGGGGGTGGGCTTTGAGGTCTCAGATGCTCAAGCCAGGACCAGTGTGGCTTTCTCTTCCTGCTGTCTGCTGAAGTGGATGCAGGACTCTCAGCTACCTCTCCAGCACCTCTGCCCATGTGCTTACCATGCTTCCTACCATGATGACAATGGACTAAACCTCTGAACTGCAAGCAAGCCCCAATTATGTGTTTCCTTTATAAAAGGAAACTATGTTGTGGCCATGGTGTCTCTTCAAAGCAGTAGAAACTCTAAGACTTGGTTCATCACTAAAGGAAGACAGGGCAGGAACTCAAACAGGGATGGAGCCTGGAAGCGGAAGCTAATGCAGAGGCTATGGAGGGGTGCTGCTAACTGGCTCGATCCCCATGGCTTGCTCAGCCTGCTTTTTTGTTTTTGTTTTTGTTTTTGTTTTCTTGTTTTTCGAGACAGGGTTTCTCTGTGGCTTTGGAGGCTGTCCTGGAACTTGCTCTTGTAGACCAGGCTGATCTCAAACTCACAGAGATCTGCCTGCCTCTGCCTCCCAAGTGCTGGGACTAAAGGTGTGCGTCATCACCCAGCTCAGCCTGCTTTCTTATAGAACCCAGGACCAGCAGCCCAGGGATGGCACCACCCACCATGGGCCAGGCCCTCCCTCATCAATCATTAGTTAGAAAGTGTTCTATAGGGGGCTGGAGAGATGGCTCAGAGGTTAAGAGCACTGGTTGCTCTTCCAGAGGTCCTGAGTTCAATTCCCAGCAACCACATGGTGGCTAACAACCATCTACAATGAGATCTGGTGCCCTCTTATGGCCTGTAAACAGACATGCAGGCAGAACACTATACACATGATAAATATTAAAATAAAGAAAAGAAAGTGTCCTACAGCCAAATCTTATGGACGTTTTTTCTCGGTTGAGGTTCCCTCATTTCAGATGGCTCTAGCTTGTGTCAAGTTGACATAAAACTAGGATAATGACCAAAAGCAACTTGGGGATGAAAGGGTTTATTCTGATTACACTTCCACACCACCATTCATCATGGAAGGAAGTCATAGTAGGAACTCAAACGGGGCAGCAACCTGGAGGAAACAAATTCCTAGAAGTGGAGTTTGTTTTCTTGTAACAGGAGTGTATGTGTTTGAAATTTCTTTCCAAGATGTTTGTTTGTTTTGTTGAGATAACATCTCATTATGTAGCCTTGACTGGTCTGTAACTTGTTATGTAGACCAGAATAACCTCAAACTCACAGAGATCCACCTGCCTCTGCTTACTGAGTGCTGGGATTAAAGGCGTGAGCCATCACACCTGACCTTTCCCCAAGTTTAAAGCTTTATTACATTTGAAAATTAATGCATACTGTAATAAAAATTCCAAACAGAATAAAAATATGTATGGAAAAATTCATCCCCTGACCCATCATCTTTTAGGCTTCCTCCCCAAAGGTCATCATTGTGTGCATAATTACACACATAATACATGTATACAGATTTGCACATATGACTAAACATTTACTTTTGCATAAAAGGAACACACCTAATATACCATTCTGCACCTTCGAGTTTTCATTTATTTGTTTAGTTAGTAGTTTTGTGACAGGATCTCACTATAAAACCAAGCTGACTTGGAATTTGCTGGGTGGCTCAGGCTGCCCTTGAACTCATGATCCTCTTACCTTAGGTATCACAGACAAGTGCCACTAAACCCAGACCTGTGCCCTCAGTTTTAATTTACTATATCTTAACATTCATCACACAGCATATTACTAGTAGGTCGAACTCATTCTCTTTAAAGTCAGAATGGCATTTATTTCAAGGACACCAGCATTAACTTTCTAGTTTTTTTTTTAAATCAAGGTATAATTTGCATAAAATATTATTTTTTAGTATGAATTTAAACAAACCTGTATGCCCTATAATATAATTTGCTAGGACTTGAACTCAGTTCTTCACCCATGCTAGGCAAGTACTTTGCCACTGAGCGTTGCCTCCAGTCCTGTCTGTCATTTTAATGTTTTTCCAATTATCCCCCCAAGAAGTTGTACCAGTTCACTCTGGTATCAGCAGTGTATGAAGCCCTCTTCCTGCAGCCTTGTCAAATTCAATGCCATCAGCTTTTAGGTCTCTCCAATCTATAGGTAAATATAATGATGCATTCTTATTTAAAATGTCACCTCTGTGTGTGGGGGGGTGGGTGGTGCAGAGTCTCCCTATGTAGCCCAGTCTGGGCTTGAACTCCAAATCCTCCTGTCTCCACTTTCCAAGTGCTGGAGCTACAAACCTGTGCCATCACACCCAGCCAGGGCTACACAGAGAAACCCTGTCTCCAGAAAAAAAATGCATTTGTTACTATTGTATGTGAGTGTGTGTGATGTGTGTGCTCCTGTGCCATGTTCCTTATGCAGAGGTCAGAGAGCAACATGGTGACAATGATGCCCTCCTTCCACCTTCACGTGGGGCCTAAGTTGTTAGGCTTGCACAGTGGTGTCTTTACCAAACTCCAATTTTCTTATTTATTTGGAGGGACACTTAATAGTTAAAAAAAGGTGCCCTTGTCTGTGGCATGAACGACAAAGTTTTGGGGGAACTTGATGTGCATGGAGATACCATGTAAGAACTGTACTCCCTAGCTAGGCTTGGGCACGCCTTTAGTCCCAACAC